ACCAACACGCTTCTTTACTCAAGCAGTTTGAATATAAGAGAAGTAAAAGGACCGATGAAAAATGATATATCTGTATTAATCTTTCATACTCACTGTATTTTACCGATTAATTTTAATATATAATATTACTATATAATACTAATAAATTATTAAAAACTTGAGGACCCATAATTCGAGGGATCGTTCTGTAGAACCTATTGAATCTCTTAAAAAATCTTCTGTGTGTAAGTAGTAATAATAGGAAATATAAGAAATTAGAATACTAAACACACCATAGTTGATAAGTTTAATTAAAAAATATTATTAAATCAAAAGAACTAATTGTACAAAAATAAGGTTATAATTAGATTTTTGAGTATATATTTGTAAACAATGACTACTAATTGTTAAAAAGTTATTTTCAACTACAAAATAAAAAATATGCAGGAATAATTTATTTGAATGGTTATTATAGAAATAGTACTTCAATGAAGGTTGTTGTTAAATAGTAAGTACACTATAGCAAATAATTTTCGTAGTAAACAAACAATCATTAAGATAGTGAAAGTCAAAACTAGATGTTTATATTTTAACCGATTCGCAAGTTGTATATATAGTCAACCACCTGTGCATGTTGACCCACAAAATCAGTGAGTTAATTATGTCATTAAAATGCAATCCATCGTAAAACGAGCAAGCCCAATGGAGTTGGATTGATTTTGACATTTGTATATATAGTCAATTGAGTTCTCTTTTAAACTTCATTTGGCGAACAGTCCAAGGGAAATTGGGTCTGAGATGGGAACATGGTAGAGAACAGTATGCATGCACTATGCGTCCAAGGGGAATATATGTCTCGTAGAGGTATAAGTTAAAAAGGGTGGGGTTTTGTTGCCCTATTTTCCAGATTCTTCCTTTGCGAGAGAGCATAAGAGAGAGAGAGGGCGGAGAGGGGATTCACGTGTGGTCTGCTAACCGGCGTCCCTGAAAAACACTGTGCCTTTGAGATCCTGCGGATACGCCGCCTCTGCGTTCGGTGGTAAACTCGGGAACCAGGTGAGGTGGTGCACTTGTAGTCCGGCCTCGACTAGTATTTAACTAAATGAAAAATATCAGTTTTTGGTAATTTTAAAAGCTGTGATTTGAAAAAAAATGTAATAATATTTAAGTAATTCGTATATCCAAATATATCAATCATTTTAAAGATTGAATGTCGCTAATTTTTAAAGATAAAGAATTTCAGAAGAAACATATGAACTTCTTATTACTCGATTAATAAGCTTTGATTTTAAACAAAATTATGATCAATCATTCAAGTAATCCGATAAAAATAGAATAGTGTAGCAACACTTTTGGCAGGATTTGGAGTGGGAATAGCAGAATCCGCTTTAAAAGGATATATAATCATCTAAAGGATTTTTTTGCTATTTCCGCTCGAACAGAGGCACAGCCAAGTAAGTATTGCATCCACCTTGTTGAACTTCTCGGACAATCACCTTTTTATCTGACTCTATCTGAACATTTTTCCATCCTTCCTTGATAGCTTCTAGAATTGCCTCATGTATACCCACCGCCTCAGCTTCCGCCGGGGTTCATTCTGCTCTACAAGAAGCTCCCTCAGCCTTCACAAATTCACCCTGATCATTTCTGGCAAGCCAACTCCATGCCCTTATTCCCTCATGGCCGTCAATCGCCGCGTCCAAATTAAGTTCTCATATTTGATGGACTACAGTAATTCTCATTTCTCAAATTAAGTTCTACTACGTATTATTACACACATATAATATGAATCAAATGAGAATGTCATATAACAAGAGAAATGAAGATGATTTGTTGAATTGTTGGGTTTGAGGATTGTGCATTCTCTGAATCAAGAATGTGCATTGTTTTGGTTCACAAATATAGTTGAATTTTTATAAATCCATGAGCTTTTCCTTGCACATTTCAGATTCACCTAGTCACATTTCATCTTTGTCTAATGCACAATTTAATTACACATAATCTCACTTTGTCTGACCTTTTGTGTTGCACATTTTGATTTCACCTAATGCACGTTTCAGTTTCACTTGATGCACATTAAATTTAACAGAAAACAATCTAACGGTCGAGATTCATTCTCATTTCTCTCCTAAAATCATTTTCTCACTTGAACCTAATTCTATATATATATATATATATATATATATATATATATATATATATATATATATATATATATAGAGAGAGAGAGAGAGAGAGAGTCATTCTCCTGTCCAGCACCTTCCCATCCGAACGCCGTCCGAACACCTCCGTTTGGGGCGGTTCCCAGAAGAAGTTTTTGATGAATATTTTTTTCCATGTTCCTCATCAAGTCTAGTTTATTCATACCAAATTTCAGCTCAAAATTCGATCGGGAAGATATTCAAATAATTCGTTGAAGTTAACTGCGCCAAATTATACATAGAAAAACGCAGTTAACTTAAACGAATTATTTGACTGCCTTCACGATAGAATTTTGAGCTAAAATTTGGTATGGATAAACTAGACTTGATGAGGAACATTTTCAAAAAAAATCATCAAAAAATTCCACCGAAAACCGCCCCAAACGGCGGTGTTCCGACGGCATTCGGACCGGAAAGTGCTGGACCTGAGAATTTTCCTATATATATATATATATTATCTTCATATATATAATATATATATTCATATATATTGGTTCAAGTGAAATATGCGTCTAATGTGAGAAATGAGAATGAATCTCAACCGTTAGATTTATGATGTTGCACTAAAAATAACTTCATGTTGCAGTAAGATTTAAATTTTGTAATGTTGCACTAAAATTGTTTCATGTTGCACTAATATTTGACGATATTGCACCAAAACAACTTCAAGTTGCAGTAGACAACTCTAATACAGACTTTTCAAAAACTTGATGAAGTCCTTTCAAAAACATAAAGTTTCGCGTAAGACATTATAAATCACATCTTAGTTCACATTTAGTATTAATGTTACTTATTAACATTATTGTGATTTGTATGTATTCAAGGGTGGAACCGGGGGGGGGGGGGGGGGGGGGGGGCTAGAAGGGGCACCAGGCCCCCAAGAAAAAGTTTGTGATATATATACATTATGTATGTATGAATATTAATAGGCAGTAAAAGTATAGTAAAATTTTAAGTTCTAGCCTGCACAACATAAATTCTTCAAATCTCGATCCCCTATTCTACCATTTCTGACTCCGCCAATGTGTGTATTAATCTCATTTTTTCACATTAGTCATATTATCTAGCTTTTATTAGTAGCAAGTCTATTGTTTGTAATATACCTGTGATATGTGAGGATCTTTTTATTATAGTCTAAATTGTTTTTAGTGAGCGTTTTTTTTACTTGGCTTGGATGTACTCTTATATATATTACTCCTTCGTTCGTGAAAAACTTCTAATTTTACTTTTGCGTATGCCCAATAAGACTTTCACTTTCCTTTTTGGTTATAAATTTGTGGTTCACAATATTTTTCTATACATTTCTTTCCTCTCTGCACAACTCTCCATCACACAATACTCATTATCTTAACATGTGTGTCATTTGTATTGTGAAAGAACTATTAGGGACAGATGGAGTATTGTAAACACTTGTTATGTTTATTTTTGTATTTTACTTTTTTATGCAACTATAGTTATGTTATATGGAGTATATTTGAAAATTTTGGCTGTTTGGTAACGGCTGCAACGGCTGAAATGGCTGAATCAGCTTAAATGGCTGAATCTGCTGAAGTAAAAGTGTTTGGTAATATATTGGCTGAAATGACTAATTAAATGTAAAATGACCATAAAGGGTATTATTATTTGTGTTAAATAAATGAGTGTGAACTTTGCTCATAAATTGTTTTTGCGTGATTAGAACTCTTAAAAATATACTCCGTAAATCTACTCTGCCATCACACAAGCATACTAATCCAGATAATCATCAATGGAGGAAAAGGCATTTTGCAAGGCTAATTTAAGCACTTAGCTATGTCTCGATTAGAATTTGAGGTACTTCAAGTTTGGTCTAGAATTAAAGAAGAAGATAGATCGCATCTTATCTTTGTGAATATGGAACAGCCGAGCAAAAGTCTTCGATTTGGATAAGAAACTATGAGGCAACGAGCAGATGAATAAGTCAGCGATTTCAATCTCGAGCAGAGGAAGATTTATTCTGGAAGTAATGGAATGGCAAATTGGTCTTTACAATAGCAAAAAGTGAAACAATAAATTTCAGCTTAAAAAGTAGCCTTAGGGTTGTTTTTTGAGCTGATAATAATTTTCAGCCAAATAAGCTTGTTTGATAGGTGTTTGGTGATTTTTTTCAATTTTCAAGTTTATAAGTCCATTTTGGATCTTCCAAACGGCCTCTAAAATTTTGAATCCGCCGCTGTGTATAGAGAATTCAAGAAACCCATATTTTTAAGTGTTAGGCTACGTTGATACTACCTCCGTTCCTATTAAAACTTCCAAATAGGTTTGGCACACAGTTTAAGATAGTGGGTATTGTGTGGTGTAGAGTTGTGCAGAGGAGAGAGAAATGTGTAAGAAATGTTGTGAACCACAAGTTCTTTACTAAAAAGGGAAAGTGGAAGTTTTAATCGGAACGGACGAAAAAAGAAAGTTGGAAGTTTATTTAGGAACGGAGGGAGTATCATCTAAAAAGAATACCACATATTTTATTGGTGATGCAGTAATAGTGAAGCCATTAATAATTGAATATGTGATTTGATTACTATGGACATTTAAAAATTTTGACATTAATATAACTAAAGAAATGATATAGATAAAAGTAAAACTAGTTTTAAAATTTCAAAAAAATTATTAACATGACATTTATAACTTTTATGCTTATTTTCTCTTATTTTAACCATTACTATTCTGTCCTACAGTGATCCTTTTTTATCCATTAACCTACTATATATTTCCACATTGACTGTGATTTTTTCTTTTTGGCAAGAAAAGAAAATTAATTATATTTCATAATTGTAAGATTTGCATTTAAAAACAGTTTTTACGAAAGCATACAGTCATCCACCAAGCTCACCACTGCAATGCTTCTGTTTCACCTACATAAAAGAGTTTTTGCCGCTCGCCATTAAAACACGCTCGGACAAGATCAGCTCAAGTGCTGAGCCGCCTGAGCAACAAAATGTTAGACAGTTAAACTGATTCACTGATTGCCTGTTTTCTATATTTGCAGTAATCTGAATTTTCAATCGTAAAATCTGCAATATCATTCGTCGAAGAAGAAAGGGAACAGCAAATGGCTTCTCTTTTCCCATTTCAAGACTTAGATCTCCAGCTCGCACCATCTACGCTCACTGGCAGCTTCTCCGGTGAGCGAAACGCCTCATCCGATAAGATAGTTCCCAAGATCGAACTAAAACTAGAGCCTTTCGACGATATCGCTCAGGCAGACCTGCAATCCCCTGCATCTTTCTCAAACCCTAGTCTCACATCCAATTCATGGTCGAATTCGGGCGTCAGCCCCTCCTCTCTTCCGCAGCCCGACCCGGAGTTCTCTCAAGTTTCAGAGGTTTTCCGCACTGCATTATCCAAGAGGATGCGGCCGTACGGCGATGTGGAGATTATTGATGACCCGGATTCGAGAGCCATCGTGCCAGTGAATACAGAAGAGCAGCTTTCAGATATGGTCATTGAAAGGAGGAAGTATTCACAGCGTTCTTCCGAGCTAGTCAGGGTTTCTGATCTTAACACAGAGGACGAGATGTATTTCCGGAGTGTTGTTCGCCGGACCCGCATGCTATATGATTCCATAAGGGTTCTTTCACTATTGGAGGATGAGAGGAACCAGGTAGGTTTTCCTTTCAGAAAAACTAGAGGGGACTTGAAGGCCGCACAGGTATTGAGAGAGAGGGGACTCTGGCTGAATCGAGATAAGCGAATCGTGGGGTCCATCCCTGGGGTGTATATTGGAGATGTCTTCTTTTTTCGAATGGAATTGTGCGTTGTTGGGTTGCATGGTCAGGTCCAGGCTGGCATTGATTATCTTCCTGCAAATCACAGCTCAAATGGAGAGCCAATTGCAACAAGTGTGATTGTCTCTGGGGGATACGAGGATGATATGGATTCAGGGGATGTGATAATCTATACGGGACAAGGTGGGCAGGACAAGCACGCACGCCAATGTGTTAACCAAAAGCTTGGAGGTGGGAATTTGGCATTGGAGAGGAGCATGTGTTATGAGATTGAGATCAGGGTAATCCGTGGCTTAAAATATGAGGGTAGTGCTAGTGGAAAAGTCTATGTGTATGATGGATTATATAAAATTGTTGACTATTGGGAAGATATAGGAAAGTCTGGTTTTGGAGTGCTCAAGTATAAGTTGGTAAGGATTGAGGGTCAACCGGAAATGGGAAGTTCTATTCTGAAATTTGCAGAGACCCTTAGGGTCCAACCATTGGTTGCAAGGCCTAGAGGCTACCTCAGTCTTGATATATCACACAAGAAAGAGACTGTGCCGGTTTTTCTGTACAATGACATAGATGCAGATCAAGAACCTATTTATTATGATTATTTGATGAAGACCATATTCCCACCACATGTCTTCCAGCAAGCTGGAACTTGTGCTGGGTGTGATTGTGTCAATGGATGTTTTGGTAATTGTTCATGTGCGCTGAGAAATGGTGGTGACTTTGCATATGACCACCATGGTATCTTGTTGAGGGGGAAACCATTGATATTTGAATGCGGGCCACATTGCAAGTGTCCTGTTACGTGTCGGAATAGAGTGAGTCAAAAGGGTGTGAAGAACAGATTCGAAGTGTTCCGTTCAACAGAGACAGGGTGGGGGGTTAGGTCACTTGACCTTATCCAAGCAGGTTCTTTTATCTGTGAATATGCAGGAATTGTCCTCACAAAGGAGCAAGAACAGATTTTCAAAATGAGCGGCGATAACTTAATATATCCTCGTCGTTTTTCAGAGAGATGGGTGGAATGGGGGGATCTAAGTCAAGTATTTTCCGACTATGTATGCCCGTCATCTCCTTCAATTCCACCTTTGGATTTTGCAATGGATGTATCAAAAATGAGGAATCTTGCTTGTTATATCAGCCACAGTTCCAGTCCTAATGTTTTTGTTCAACCAGTGCTGTATGATCATAATTTTGTCTGTTTCCCCCGCCTTATGCTCTTTTCTATGGAGAATATTCCTCCCTTACAGGAACTTAGCCTTGACTATGGTGTATCATCTGATGATTCGGAGAAGCTTGCCATCTGTGACTGATTAATTTAGGAGTGTAGTTCCAGTTTTGATTGTGGTTTGCAATGACTTGATTGGCTTATGGTGTACTAAGGTAATGTTCCATATCCATATCAATTAATCTTCTTTTTTTCATTCCTTGATGACCTGTTAGTTAGTACGCATTTGAAATGCTTAGAAGGACCCATGTGTAAACATTTAGGAGTATAACGCATGTTTTTCTTTTTGAGGGTATAGTGCAAATTTAAAGAGGACTTACTTTATGCAATGGTCTTTTCTCCAGTACAATTGCTGAGTTTTTTTTTTGCCATGAAAATTTTACCCTGGAGATTGGACTCAAATCAAACAAAGACCATGACTTAGATACTCTGAAGCCTTTGGCTTTCAACGTATCTAAACACATAAAAAGAAGGAAACTAATTATAATGAATGCCCCTCTATAAATATAAACATCATGTATTGACAATTATGCTAAGTGCGAAAGCAGTTTATTGTTTCATAATCTTGTTTAACATTATTATGCACTTCCCTATTTTTTCTGGCATAAGTTAGTGCAAGTGTATAGTGTGGAATTTTGTATGGTAGTGGTGGGTAGTATATACCTCATATATCACAGTGTGATATGGGCTACCGTGAGTCCGTGAATTCTTACTTTGATTTAATGAACTATATTCATTGCTTAGATTATTGTTGCTTTGCATAAAACAGTACAAATTTATGCAATGGTCTTTTCTTTAGTATAATTGCTGAGTTTTTTTTGCCATGGAAATTTTACCCAGGAGATTGGACTCAAATCAAACAAAGACCATGACTTAGATATTCTGAAGCCTTTGGCTTTCAACGTATATAAACACATAAAAAGAAGGAAACTAATTATAATGAATGCCCCTCTATAAATATAAACATCATGTATTGACAATTATGCTAAGTGCGCTAGCAGTTTATTGTTTCATAATCTTGTTTAACATTATTATGCACTTCCCTATTTTTTCTGACATAAGTTAGTGCAAGTGTATAGTGTGGAATTTTGTATGGTAGTGGTGGGTAGTATATACCTCATATATCACAGTGTGATATGGGCTACCGTGAGTCTGTGAATTCTTACTTTGAGTTAATGAACTATATTCATTGCTTAGATTATTGTTGCTTTGCATAAAACAGTACAAATTTGCCTGAATGAGTTGTACAAATGTAGTCATTGCGGGATTTTCAGAAGATTGTAGGATGGTGTATTAAAGAGTCGATTGCTTGGTTTGTGTTTCAGAACCGTTGTTAGAGGCGTCCTAGCGCGTAGCGATGGTCAAGCCAGGATTTCCAATTTCCATTAGATTGTAGGGTTTCTATTACTTTCCTGTTTTAAATGGCAACAAATTGTTTAAAACCTATTGCTGAGTACATACCATCCCAAATGTATGGTAGTGGTGGGTAGTATATACCTCATATATTCATGTATTGACAATTATACTTTATGCAATGGTCTTTTCTTTAGTATAATTGCTGAGTTTTTTTTGCCATGAAAATTTTACCCAGGAGATTGGACTCAAATCAAACAAAGACCATGACTTAGATATTCTGAAGCCTTTGGCTTTCAACATATATAAACACATAAAAAGAAGGAAACTAATTATAATGAATGCCCCTCTATAAATATAAACATCATGTATTGACAATTATGCTAAGTGTGATAGCAGTTTATTGTTTCATAATCTTGTTTAACATTATTATGCACTTCCCTATTTTTTCTGACATAAGTTAGTGCAAGTGTATAGTGTGGAATTTTGTATGGTAGTGGTGGGTAGTATATACCTCATACATCACAGTGTGATATGTGCTACCGTGAGTCCGTGAATTCTTACTTTGAGTTAATGAACTATATTCATTGCTTAGATTATTGTTGCTTTGCATAAAACAGTACAAATTTGCCTGAATGAGTTGTACAAATGTAGTCATTGCGGAATTTTCAGAAGATTGTAGGATGCTGTATTAAAGAGTTGATTGCTTGGTTTGTGTTTCAGAACCGTTGTTAGAGGCGTCCTAGCGCCTAGCGATGGTCAAACCAGGATTTCCAATTTCCATTAGATTGTAGGGTTTCTATTACTTTCCTGTTTTAAATGGCAACAGATTGTTTAAAACCTATCTTGGCCCGTTTGGTTGGGGTAATTTTGGCTGAAATAGCTGAATTTGAATTTGCTGATGCTGATGGCCTATTGCTTTAATGACAGTAGGCTAATGAGTAAATTATGCAAGTGTATTTAAAATGTTTTTTTTTAATGGAAATAAAGGAGTAATATTTAAAAGACGAGGAAGAAAGTTTATGATCTTCTTTTCAACCATTTCAGTAAACATCAACTTCTTCAAAACCTTCCTTAAAGTTATTAGTTAGTGTTTCTGAAACAAAATATGGCTAACTAGACTTTTAAGACAAAAAACAAGACCCATAGGAGGAAGTAGATGGAATACAAGAAAGCTGAACTTCATGCATGGTTTAACAAAGAATCATTTTGTAAATCACATTTCTTCTGATTTCTACCCTCTCACCTATTTCTAATGTGATTCTTATGCAAATGAGATGTGCTATTATTAACTGCAGTTGTGTAACTCCCTTCTTTAATTTTTACAGAATATAGCTTGCCATAATAGCTGCTGCAAATGTATACCATCCCATGTCAGACTGTAAATCCCTGCTGCCTCCTGTATGTAGTTGTTCTTGCACTGTTACCGATCGATATTGAAGAATTAGCCGCTTGTTCAATTATTTACCATTAAATTGCATTATGCTCCGTATTATGTACATGTTGTGTAATTTCTGTGTTCTTAGTTAGAGGAGTACATTCCAAACTCCATAAAAAGAAATCCCATGTTTTGGTGTTCAGTTGTATGTTTTGGAGGGAAAGGACCTTTATTTTTTACCTTTTTGTACAAACCGAAAATATGAAATTGGATACTTTTAAATTCTCAAGTATTGACTATTGAGCCGGATTTGGTCCGTATCAAAAGAGGCAAAGTTCTTTTTTGTTTTAAAGATGTAGGCAAAGACGATCAAGGTCAAGTAGGCCCTTTTTCTCCTAGACAACTTTGATCCACACGTCAGAGTGTCGGATACTCACATCGGAATCCGGAGAATAGGTGGTTAAAGGTGTTTGTCAACGGTTTAGTGCAAATAATTTAGAGGCTGTGGATAGAAAGACATTGAAAAATTTGAAGAATGTGATAGTGGAATCGATTTAGAGAAAGGATGACACCGATTCTAGGGCCCCCAACTCCGATCGTACGGTACGTTGAGAGGATGTAAATTGGACTATAATCCAGATAGAGATACGAACCCGTGACCTAACCCTTGTAGCACTCCCTTGTTACTAGTTGAGCTACGCCCACCGGTGTGGAATCGATTTAGATGTCATTTAATAACATTGTTTTTTCAGATTTATCAGACTTCTCAACCAACTTTTCACGAAACAAGTCATTTTTATTTTCGCGCGTTAAATTGTGTAATAATTAGTTATTTTTACATATAATTTTTTTATTTTATTAATAAAAATATATTTTTAAAATAATTTTTCTTAAATCAACAGAATCAGACAATACAGCCACTCAGTCAGAACTTTATAAATTTTAGCAGAATCAGTTGAATCAGCCGATTTTTGTGTTACCAAATGGGCTCTTAAAATCTTGGGCATTGCTAGTAGCTTTTTTTTACTTCATGGGCATCTGGGGGAGGGGGCCTGGGGGCTGGGGGCCTGGAGTAATCAGGACCGAAATTCACTCCATTGAGTTTCAAACCCTTATGTGTCTAGCGGGTTTTGAACTCGAGATCTTTCACTAGGCACGGTAACTTCACAACCAGCTAGGTTGGAATGTTTGGTTTTGCTAGTAGCTTGTTTGACAAGATGGGTAGTTCAATTTATTTATAAAAATTTCTTTAAGTAAAAATAATGTGAAACTTCAAAATAAGAATATTATAATTAGGGATGGACTAAATCGGGCCGGCCCGACCCGGAACCGGCCCGGTCCGTTACTGTTTGGGCCCGGATCGGATTGGGATCGGTTGGCCGGTTCCGGGCTTTTAGCCCGTTTGGGCGGGTTGGGCGGGCCGGGCTCGGGCCCATCTTTTGGTGAACCGGCCCGGGCGGTTCGGGCCGGGCCCGGTTCAATTTTTTTTTTGTTTTTTCAATTTTTTTTCTTTTCTAGGTCAGGGTTGGGTGTTTTGGGGGGGTTTGGGGGTTGGGGTGAAGGGGGGGGGGGGGGGGGGTCATGTGTTAATTAGAAACAAAAAAAAATGAACTTGACCCGGGCCCGGCCCGGCCCGGTTAGGCCTGGACCCGGTATCAACCCGGGCCGGTTCCGGGTCCAACATTTTGCATATAAAGTCCGCCCGGGCCCGTCCGGAACCGGAACCGGACTGGCCCGGGTCCATCCCTAATTATATTTGTTTCTAAATAGAATTAATTATTGTAAAAAATTAGTGTCAATTATAACACTAATAATACTTCCTATGTTCCTTAAAAATTGCAACATTGGAATTTCTGCATTATTCACGCACCTTACTTTGACTTCGATTTTCAAATAATATATATAATAAAATTATTATGTAAAAAATATTAAAAAATTTGTATTAATGTAAATTTCCAATATATTAACATTTTTAATGTTTACTAATACGTAAATAAATATAATTACAGTCAAAGTTGCGCGTTGATAAACGTGGAAGTCAAACTGTTGCAACTTTTAAAGAACGGATAGTATCATATTAATGTTTGGTATGTACTAGAATGATATTCCGTAGTACTTACTCATATTTGGATGGAAATAGAGTACTAGATATTTAGAATTCGACACTATTTTTACTTGTAATTTGGAAAATTTACCATGTATTTATATTTTTACTTGATGAATTAAGTATTGGAACTAACATATATTTTGTCACGTTTGATACAATAAAAGGATTAAAATATTCTTGAGACTGTAAACTTAGTAAATAGCACTAATGCAACATTCAAGACTTGGAAGTTGAGATCATGAAAAATGAAAGACTTGAAAGAAAACGGATGAGGTGAGGTTTTGGGAGAAGTCAACAACTTTTATGTTAAAAATACAAATCACCGTTCTAGGCACATTCATCATCGTATAGCAAAGTATCACTTGTTTTAAGCTGATACTGTATTTATATCGTCTTGGAATTGAAGGTTATTGACCAAATTTGCCTCTTAAATTTAATATTTTAAAGCTAGAGTAATGGAAGATTTGCTTTAAACTATTCTTCATTTCTTCTACGGAGTACTACACTACTACCTCCGTGTCATAAAATTCTTCCACTTTGACTTGGCACGGAGATTAAGAAAGTGGAATAAAGTGGAAATGTATAGTTGTGGTTGTGTAAGAAAAATGTGAAATGAATGTAAACCACACAAATTATCCAAAAATGGTGAGTGGAAAGAATTTTTTGGAACGGCCCAAAAAGGAAAGTGAGAAGAATTTTATGGGACGGAAGGAGTATTATGCAAAAAAAAAACAAATCATGTATCATACTCCGTATTTATTGTTAATATCAATCATTTTTCGTATGATCTTTACAATAGAACACTTCAAAAGCTGACGAAAATGCAAATATCTTTATACTTGCATGTTAAAAGAGTGTTTCGATTTGGTTATACTTTTAAAGTAAAAGTTTGTATTGTTTGAAAAAAAAGTAATTTTATAAAGTAGAAGTTACTACGTGATGGAGTAATGAGACTAGGCCCAGAGCCTAATCAGCCCAAGTCCCGAACTTGGACCGTAGATCCAAGTCCACAACCTGGAGTTTGTCTACCAGCCCAGCGGTGAGCCTGCCAGTCCGGTCGACCTCTCAGCCCGGAAGAGTAACGGTCAAACAATTAATGCACTATTAATTATGTATTTAATTCTGTATTAATGTTGTAATTAATTAGTCATTATTATCGGTAGCGGTTACGATTTGTATACGCCTATAAAAGGCGGGTTGTAATTCAGATTCTGGGAGGCAATTTCTATATGTTATTTCTGGCAACTAAATCTCATAGCTACTTTCCATTTTCGTTCTTGCTTTCCTAATTCCTGTTTGAGTGTCGTACGTAACTTTCCTAAAAGCCTACGAGCGTCCTATTTTGGACCAACATTGATGCTTTCATTGAGAGTCTCTATTGTCTCTCACATCGCTTGAGTAGGAATTGATCAGGAAATTTCAGAAAAAATGAGAGGATACACAAAAAATATGGAATTTACAAAATATGCTCCTGAGACGATAGCGTTGCAGCTGAAGAAGATGTCACTGCTCCAGAAGACCCAGATCTGAATTCTTCCTGAGCCGGATCTGTCACCGTCGTCCCAGCCGCCGCTGTGCGCTGAAGCGCCTACCGCTGGCTCAGTCCTTGCCAGCGATGTTGGGAGACGCTACTTGCACCTTGGTCTGCGACCTCACCAATTCTTCACTGCGTCTGGAGTCACGGAGCAACTGGAATATGGATCCCCATCGGACGGCGGTCACCGAGGCAAGAACTCAGATGCCATAGCAGCCCGCTAATCCAACTCCGTCGCGCTACCGCCAGGCCTGCCAATCTCCGGCCTAGCCTACCCAGACTGACCTCTCTCACAGTCACTGGTGAGAACTCTTCTGCTCTGTCGGTCTGTCCTCGGTTATCCAGCGAATCGAATTAGCAAGCGGGAAGTTCGGCTTCTCACAGTGAGTCGCCGTCCTCAGATTGTAGTATGGCCCTTAATTGATGTGGGTTGCTATGTTGCTCTTCCGCTAGCAGTAGCGGGACTAGGGTTGGGATGTATCAAAGATTCAAAATCAAGAGGTGAGATCCTTAGCCTTTATTGCAATGGTCGCCATCTGCAAATAGGATGGCTAGAAATGTTCTTCTCGTCGAGCTCAGACTCGTCAGGTTCGTCATTTGCTTCCTTGAAGACGGTAAGACCCCCACTACATTCAGTTGTACCTACACATAAAAGAAACTAGTGTAGAATAGAGCATCTGGTCTGGTGTCGAACCACGCCTCAGTGTGTAAGTGAGTCGGACTCACTACTTGAAAAGAGTGACATCAAATTCCCAAGTTAGGCCTCAACCCAGTCTCCGAAAGAAAGATTGAATCCGCGAGTAAGTGAGTCGGACTCCTCATTCGAATGGATAATCCGACCCCAAAGAACTAAAGTATATCAACCCTTTTCGAGAAATGTGAATGTCAAATAAGTGACAAAATTGCTCGCAAGAACGTGGTTCTAGGCCTCTAGCAAGAGTTTAACTCGTCGCCCGAGGTTAGTAGTTCGAACCCGCAAGTAAAAACTTTGGAACGGGTGACTCGTCCCCCGGGGTCGGAGTGTGATGCACTAGGAAGAGGTAAGAGCACACAAGAACTCGTATGAAGTCAATAGTGTGTGGTATCAACATTTATATTGGAGCTTACTAATCGTCACACCCATATGACGTGACCCGGTGGCGCGAGTGTGTGTGCTCGGCCAGTGTACGAGTGTGTGTGCTCGTCTGGCGTACTTGAGTGATCAAATTTCATACGTTCGTTGTTCAATGTTAAAATTACACACACTTAACAAGAGTAAAAGCAATATATCACTTAAAATATCTTTTCAAATGTTTTAATTTATGATTTTTTTTTGTATCAAATATAGAGGATTTTTGGAAACTTAGCTTTAGAACCAAACGGGCCCGAATGAGTTGCTGAAAATGCAGCCCGTCGTCATCCTTGAGGAGAATCAAATTTGGTCTTAGTGTAATCTTGGCCCATTCACTTTAACGCAGAGCAGACTCTTGTTCCATAGGAATTAGGTGGGCGCACATTTGAAGGCCTATCTCATAAATAGGCATGGCGATGAGGGAGACCAGCAGCGACGTCGGCGCGCGACATCCAGCTGTGATTGGCGAAGAGAACGGGAGGAAGTGGAACTGTAGAACCTTGGATTGGGATGAAATTCTTGAATTTTTTCCTA